AACTGAGAGCAGCAGCTTCCAGCGGCAATGTACTCGGCTTCAGCAGTAGAAAGGGAGATGCAGTTTTGTTTCTTGCAGAACCAAGATACCAAGTTTGATCCTATGAAAAACACCCACCAGAGGTGCTTTTTCGATCATCAAGATTTCCAGCCCAGTCAGCATCACAATAACCTGCAAGATGTAAGTTCGTATCAGCAGAGTAGAATAGACCATACTCTGTTGTACCTCCAATGTACTTTATGATGTGCTTGACTGCTTTCATATGTGATTCCTTAGGGGCAGCCTGATACCTGACACACAATCCAAGACTAAAGCAAATGACAGGTCTACTAGCAGTGAGATATAAGAGACTACCAATCATACTTCTGTATAGAGTTTGATCAACAGATGTACCTTCATCATCTTTGGACACTTTTACATGAGTGCCCATGGGAGTTTGAGGACACTTAGCGTTTTCAAGACCAAACTTTTTAACAAGATTTTTTGCATATTAGCCTGATGCAAGAAAATACCATATTTACCTTGCTTTACTTGAAGTCCAAGAAAGTACGAAAGTTCACCGACGAGACTCATCTGGAATTCAGACGACATAAGTTTCACAAAGGGATTGACCAGCTTCTTAGAAGTTGATCCAAAGATGATGTTGTCGACATAGATTTGTACAGCCAATAGGTCCTCATTCGTTCGAAGAGCAAAGAATGTCTGATCTATTCCTCCTCTCTTGAATCCCTTTTCCAGAAGGTACATGGTAAGACGTTCATACCACGCACGAGGAGCTTGCTTTAATCCGTACAATGTTTTCTTAAGCCTGTAGACATGATTCGGATTGTTGGGATCTTTGAACCCTTCAGGTTGCTTCACGTAAGCCTCTTCATGTAGTATCCCATTCAGAAAAGCAGACTTCACGTCCATCTGATAAACAATGAATTTCATTAGACATGCAATAGATAGGAATATGCGTACCGATTCAAGTCTAAAAACGGGGGCGAAGGTTTCATCAAAATTAATACCTTGAGTCTGAGTGTAGCCTTGAGCTACTAGTCTCGCCTTGTTCCGTGTCACATTCTCGAACTCATCAGTTTTGTTCTTGAAGATCCACTTGGTTCTGATAACATTTCCCGATGAAGGTTCAGGGACTAACTCCCAGACATCGTTTCTGGTCAATTGCTCCAGTTCCTCCTGCATGGCTAAGATCCAACACTCGTCTTTCAGAGCCTCCTTAGCATTATTGGGTTCAAGGAGTGAGGTGTAGCAGGTGTAGTGAGAGACACCCATAAGTTCTTTTACTGACGTCTTTGAGTTTCTGGTTACTCTCTCGTTTATGTCACCAATGACTTGCTCGGATGGATGGTCTTTCTGAACCCTTAAGGGAGGATCACGCCTAAGTGACACAGTACCTTCTTGAGTTGCAGGGACAGTGTAGTCAGTTGATGTTTCAGCATTTTCTACAGAAGGTTCAGCTGTCTCCTTGTCTGCAGAACTCTTAAGACCCTGAGTATCCTGCAATGCCTCAACATTTTCAAATTGATCAAAGGATACAAATGAACTAACTTGAGAATTCTTTTCATTAAAGATTACATTTATTGACTCAATCACAGTGGAGGTACTTGTGTTGTAAACACGATACGCTCGACTATTGTTAGAGTAACCAAGAAAGAATCCAATATCTGATTATGCATCAAATTTTCCAAGTTGGACACGATCATTATAGATAAAAAACTTACACCCGAAAATATGCAAGTGACTGAGGTTAGGGCTCTTACCTTTCCAGAGTTCATATGAGGTCAGACCAATACCTCGACGAAGGTACACATGATTCACTAGGTAGCATGCTATATTGATTGCCTCAGCCCACCATCTGGAAGAAATGTTTTTAGAGTTCAACATGACTCTTGCCATTTCTTGTAGAGTGTGATTCTTCCTTTCAACAACTCCATTTTGCTGAGGAGTTTTAGGAGCCGAGAACTCGTGACTAATACCCAGAGAATCACAAAATTCAGTAAACTCAGAGTTTTCAAACTCTCTTCCATGATCGCTTCGAATACTTATAGGAAAACATTTCTCAGTTTGAACCTTCAAACAAAGTGACTTAAAGGCAGAGAATGTGTCAGACTTTTCATCCAAGAAATCAACCCAAGTATATCGAGAGAAATAATCAACACACACAAAAATATACTTTTTACCTTGATAGCTTTCTACCTGAATGGGACCCATAAGATCCATGTGAAGAAGCTCTAGGATCTGTTTAGACACAATATGGTTCAGTGACATGTGGGATGTCCTCGTTTGCTTACCTAGTTGACAAGATTCACAAATTGGCTGGTCCTTCATAGCAATCTTTAGAACACCCCTGACTACACCTGCATTGGTCAATTTGACAAGGTGAGAGTATCCAATATGTCCTAGGCGTTGATGCCATATTTCAGGTTCACTTACATTTGAGAAAAGGCATTTTTCATTAACATCAACAAGATAACAGTTATCTGTTGAACGAGAACCTGTAAGTACACAAGAACCTTCACTGTCTTTCACATAACACTTGTCACAAGAGAAACTGACACTAAGGCCTTGATCACAAAGTTGACTCACACTCAACAGATTTGCCTTTAGCTTATTAACAAGTAATACATCAGTTAGTTTAGGTATTCCATCCAAATTTAAACAGCCAGTTCCAATAACCTTATTGCTCACTCCATCACCAAATGTGACTTCCCCATTTGAACTGGGTTGAATGTTCATCAAGTAAGAAGGTTCACCAGTCATGTGTCTAGAGCAGCCGCTGTCCAAATACCACTTACCTTTCAGAGAGGTCCTGAGGGACAGAATAGAGGCAAAACAGTTGAAGGATTTCTTAGCAACCCACACTTGATGATTTTTAGTACGGTTATTTGAGAGGGTCCTGGAATGAACCTTCACTGGGATCCCAGACTGATTCCAGCCCATAACGTTTCCTGTACAAAGGTCATGCTGTATTTTATAGCATTTGGGTCTTATGTGACCAGTTACACCAAAGTAATGATAGATGGGAACAAAGTTATTGTGAGCTTTAATAACAGATTTCTGCTTGGGAGAATGAACCTTCAAGGGAGATTCTGGAGATGGAGGTTTACTTACAGTGCTTTTCACAAACCTGTCAAACACGTTTCTGGAAGGTCTCCCATGGAGGTTCAAGCCTCCAACTCCAGGTTTGTCACCAAATCCAAGACAGGTATGTTTTGCATTTGAAGCTCCAGTTGAGGACTCAGGAATGTCTTCCCTACCGGTGTACCCTATTCCAGTAAGATCTCCATGTTGTCTTCCCAAGGAAAGAATTTTATTCAGATCTGCTTTTCCCTTGTTCAGTTTTCGAACAATTTCTGCAGTTCGGTTCAACTCAGTAGAGTTTGCCTTCAGTTTGCTTTCCATGCTAGCATGTTCGTTCATCATCCGATCAGCTTCATTTTTCAGAAGTACAATTTCCTGGTTCCGCTCGACAAGAAGTTTCTGAGTAGAGAATAGTTCATTCCTCATGCATTCAATGGTCTGAGCCTTCTCCAGTCCGTCTTGTTTAGCAAGTTTCACACTGCTCTCTAGGATGCAAGTTCGTGCCTTAGCAGTATCCAGTTCACACTCTTTAGTAGCAG